CACACACACACACACACACACACACACACACACACACACAAACACACACAAGGTACCTGAATCGATGATTTCCACATCTGGGATTAACTGTCAAAGAAGATGGAGAAAAGAATAAGATGGCAATTCCTCAATAGGACAGAAGTCATGTTTTCTTCAATTTTCATTTCATTTGTTTTCTATCTTATTTTTGTTTGTATATTACTGTACTGAAAAATTGTAATAAAATAACAACAAAAGACCTGGACAAGGGTCACCCATAGCTTGCCACTTTATGGCTGAGCATTTTGAATATTCCTGTTAGTTTATTGTATGCATTGTACATAAACAGGTAGACAAAAAAAGCACCTGCTAAAGTAAAGGCTACTTTTATTGGAAAAGGAAAACTTACACTGAGGTTGTAGAGTAATGAGAGCTCATTATTCCATACAATTGTTGGTAGCCAGATTTATGGGATAACATCTCCAAGACAAAAACATCAAGATGGGACATAAGGTCCTTTGGACCATTTGTTCTTACAGCAGCAACTGTTAAATCATCTTGTGCTCAGATAAGTTACTGGCCGAAGTTGTCTGATGTTTCGATGGATAGACTAGATTCTGCATCTTAGCCACCACATCACTGATATCAGTGCTGTATCTTTCATTGATTTCCATGAAAAAAACTTCAATAATGCTTAAGTTGAAAGGGAGATGGGTAATCAAAAAGACACTCAGAGAAATCTGCTAGCTACTACATATGATCTTGAAAACTTTTTTGGCAGTGGAGGTTCTTCAAGCCCATTCCTTTTGCAATATTTGCAGTAAAGCTATCAAGCATAATCTCGATATATCTTGATTTCCTCGATGCCATGGAATGTACAAAAAGTCCCTTCAAGGATCTTCAGTGTTATAACTGGATATCAAGTTCTGTAATTACCTATAATAATATAGTGTCAAGTTTTAATTCACCTTCAGTTAATATTACTCCTGATCGAGTTTAGTGAACAAAGATTGAAAACTATGAGCTTTATTTTTCTCAATTTGTCTATCATGTTTTTATGTATACAGCACAAGTAACCATTCATTTAAAAAACAAATGTTAAATACAGATCCTCCATAAATGATCAAACATAGAGAAAAACATCTACAAAAATGTATGAAATCGTATTTAATAGAAAGCAATGACAGATCAATTTTATATATTTTGCCTACTGTAATTTTGTTCAAATCAGCACTGTCAAAATTGATGCATTTTTCAAATCTTAAAATTCTTAATTGGAGACACATACAACATCAAGAATTGAGTTTGTTCAACCATTTTGGGAGCACTTTTTGTGATGGCCATCTTGAATTTACTGCTCTAGCAGCATTTTATGATATCCCTTTCAGATGGAACTTTCCTTTTTAGAAATAATTTATAGTCAGATCTATCTAAATCTTATGTTCTCTCCTACATTCAACATGTCTTCCAGTTGGATTGTATTTATAAATGCTCATCAACAAAGTAATCCAGAAATGTAAATAGGTGCATATGGTAGCAGAAATTTTAAATTGTATTTCTCTTGGTTTCTTTTTTTCTTTTAATTGGCTCACTTTCTTTCCTGTGAAAAGGAAGACAATGCAACTAATCCATTCATTCAAGGAAATTAGAAAAATGTTCTCTGCTTTTTTATCATCTTACCCACAAGCACTTCACAGCCTGTATAATCTACTATTTCTTTCAGTCCCTTCAGGTAATAACCGTATTCATTTTTGCTGAAAGTGGTCTTGTGAATTAACAGAATCAGTGCAAGGAATGAAGCATCCACAGTTTTCCAAGTCTTTTTCCTATTTCCAAGTGCTACAAAACTGTACTACCAAAATACAGCAAGGTACTGATTCTCAGTAGGAAATCAAATTAATTGCAGACATTGCATGTCTATCACTTCCCATGCCCCTCCAAATGAGTAAACAAGAAAATTTCAGTCCCTTTTCTTCAGTAACTTCATATCAGGTCTGTTGTTGAAAAGTTTTGCAAATATCAACAAAAAGGAGACTGGCTTAACATTTCACTCAAATATGATAGCAACTTGTTTAGAAGACTGCAACAAACCTTGAAGATTTATAAAACTGCCATAGATTTCAAACAAAATCATGTTTTCTATATTGATTACTACTATTCAGTGCTTAGAGAACCAAGTAACTATACTGATAGATAAACTTTGGCAATATTCTGAATTGTATTTTAAAACATTATTTTACTGAGAATTAATCGATTTTCATTGAAAGGGCACCTGGGTTTGCATAACTGAATAATACTCTTGATTAATTCCTTGTATTAAGGATGTTCTATTAGGTAGCAAAAGATTCAACACTGTTTTGAATAATAAAGGAGTAGTATATTTGCTAGGCAAGTATAGGCATATGAATTACAGCCCTTATAATAAAGAACATCTACTATTGCACCTTTGAAAATGCATTGTTCCTTGAATTTCTTTTACTGATGCTTCCATTTTGAAACCATGTATTTATGCTGTGCATCCAATACAATCTAGATAACTTGCATTTTAGTTTTACTCTCATGGCGGTAGCAGTCTTCTTTTTTACTGAAACTCAAACAGCAGCTTCTCCACAGCAATCCAGAATGTTCTTAAAATTATTTTATAGTCTCTTAATTTTTTTTAAAAAAAGATCCTCAACTAAAAGTGTTTATTTGGATTTTTGGATTTGCATTCTTCCAGTCTTGTATGTGATAAAAATCAGGTCTCTATCTTGAGCCTTGATGCTGGAACAATTTTTATAGTTTTAGCACTGTGTTTTCCATCCACATTGTTCATAGATGTTTGTATTTTTTCTTCTAACAGGCTGTCCTTAGATCCATTTCGCCGCTGAAATAAACAAATATTGAACAAATTAAAACCATTTAAAACATCTTTGCACTTTAATTATTCAAGCATGATTAAAAACCATTACTAACCTGCTGAGATATTGCAGTGAGACAATGAGCATCCGAGGAGCGGGTAACAGGGAGCGGAGGCACAAGGTCTGCTTTGGCACTGGAAAAGAAAGCAAATTTCAAAATCCACAGTGCATATGGAGTAAAAAGGAACTACAAAGATGCTTGCCCTTGTATAAATCATTCAGTTGCTGATTTTTATCTACACTATATTTCAAAGATAATTGCATGCTTTTTACTTGGTTCCATTAGAAATTCTTGATGAGGAGACCTACCTTTTAATTTGAATGTCTAGCAGATTGTGTTATTTTTGAAAACAAGGAGATCTATATCCAATAAGGGTATAGATTCCCTTTTAGTCATCACAAAATAAAGAATTCAGTGACAGGTCAACGTACTGATCACTTACCTTTTCCACCCAGGTTTTTAGATTTAATTATTTTTTTAAATTAGTCTATTATTTTTATAAATAACTTAAGGCAGTAAACATATCTAGTAATACTTCCTCCTCCTCCTGTTTTCTTCACAACAACTCCTCTGTGAGGTGACTTGGGCTAAGAGGACTGGCCCAAAGTCATGCAGCCATCTTGAATGACTAAGGGGCAGGATTTCCTGCTTTTCTAGCTAATCTAAATTGTGTGGACAGCAGATTTCCCCCTCCCCCTTGTTGTTCTACTTATCTTTCAGGTGTGCTTGGTAGCAGGCTCCACCCACCTGCCCAGATGTCATCACATCTGTTTTTGACGCTCTGCACATGCACGGAAAGTTCTGCACATATGTGGAGGTGGTGCATGCACTCACATTTGCGAACCGGTAGCGTGGGTAAGTAGGTTTCACCCCTTCTAAGGGGTAATAAAATTCACAGTCTCCTGGTACCTTAACTACTAGATCAGAGGGGCTCCTGAATAATTTCCCAGAAAACTAAATATTCTAGCAAATATTCCCAGAGCATCCTGTTATAAGCTGTATGCCTTGTAACTGGCATTGTAATGTTTATCAAACAACCATCCACCTTTCTCGGTGATTAACATACTTCACTTCTGACAGAACAGATCTCTCCCCATCGGAGCACTGGGATCGGCGATAATGGCGATAGCTTCGAGGAGAATGTGAGTGTCTAATGCGAACAGGATCACCTTGAGTCCTAATGAAGAAATCAAATTTCCAAGACCAAATAATTATTTGTCCATAAGAATTACAAAGATGATTATAACAGAAAAAGCATTTCTTCAAAGTATTACATTTACAACCACATTTATTTATAAATGCTATATATATAAAATACTATGTTCCAACAAAATAGAAAAAAGGATGGTTAAGTTTCAGAACCAAAACAAAAACTTTGAAAATTAAGGCATTCTTCATTACATCTTGTAGATTTTTAAAATGTTCGTGGAAATACTTATAAAACTGAAGATAAAATGCCTTCCTTCCTGTCAGAACATTCCTTCCTATCAAAAACAAAGAAAAGATTCTTGGCTATTGTTGCAATACTGATGCAGTTAGTTCAACTCAACTAGGAGTTTAAGTTGAATTAAGACTCCCGTCCTAAAACTCTTTGACCTTGTAGCTTCTCTTCAAATGCTATGAAAAGGGACATAGTATTTGCAAACTGGCAGGCGAAAATGCACAGAGGTTAATCAAAGGTAGACTTTGCATTCTAGTTGCAATATAGCTTGTGTCATGGTATCATGTATTTTGAATTTAGAAAAAATGCACTCAGTCCTGTATAGAATTATAGAATTTCCCTAAACAACAGCAAGAAAATAATAAAATCAGAAAATAAAATTTCTCTTCCTTACCATGAAGGGAGCAGGACTTTGAATAAGGCAGTTCTTTCATCTTTGAGTTCCCACTTAACTATTACCAATAATTGATGTTGTGCCATCGTCCATGTCAATTCTTAAGGGATCACATAGATATTTTCTCCATGACATTTAACTATAGAGCAACTCTAAGAGTTTGGAAATGTGAGCCACACAAAATTGATGCCTATTCTCTCAGCCTCTTGTCACACAGAATGTCATATGAATCTCAATTTTCAGATCAGCTATACAGATTACTGAAAAAGAATATATATAAAAAGCTTTGGACACTATAAAAAAGTAAAGTATGTCTTCAGATTTATAGCCCATCTTTCTTCTTAGCTTGAAAACATCTAATTTGTTTCCCTAACAAGTATAAAATGAATTGAGGGATAGATGGTGAACATTGCTAAGGATGAACTTGAACCTGGATCTCCCAACCTCTTTTCTTCCAATATCCTCTTGGGAGTTTTAAATCATTCATTCTTGCCATTATGTACAGAAAGCATACAATCTGGCAGAATTAGGTCTGTGTTGTGGCAAATATTTTCAGTTATTCTAGATCTTGCAGAGCAAGCTGGGTGCTTATTGCTTCCTGTCCCCATTTTTGTTCTAAGCTAGGATGGAAATAAATTCTGGCAGTATAATTAAAGCATCACTTTAGATAGATTTGGGAAGTTGACCTTTTCAATACCCACTAATTTAATTTTCTTTTCACGTAGTCACAGGAAGATGAAGACCAAGCATCCATTGACAGGCAATGCTCAGAGATCCACATTTTTGCAAGGTCTCTTTGAAAAGCTAAGGACTAACTAATTCCGTAATTGGCAGTGTGAACTGATGTACAGGGCTGAGTGTACTTAGAGCTAGATCTTGGATTTAGCTAACTGGGTCTATGAACTCTTTTTCCATTCTATACAACTTGAACCTCCTGGGCCCAGTTTATTACAGAAGCAGGCAGTTACATAATGGGAGGTTAGATAATGTGGAAAAAATCTAATGTATATAAGTCACCTGTAATCAATGAAGCCATATAAATATTGATTTATTCATTCACTTATTTATACATTATTCCATCAGTATCCTTTTTACTAGTTAACATTGGGTAAAGTGCAATATTATTATCTGTTTTAAGGTTAGAATTTTACACATGCAGATGTTATAACATTAGAAACAGTCTTCTGCGAGACCGTCTTCTGCCACATACCTCCCTTAGATCAATAAGATCGCACAGGATGGGCCTTCTCCGGGTGCCTTCAGCGGGACAATGCCGGCTGGCGACACCTAGGAGTAGGGCCTTCTCTGTTGCCGCTCCGGCCCTATGGAATGAGCTGCCCCCAGAGATCCGGGCCCTACCTACTCTCATGGCCTTCCGCAAAGCTATTAAAACCTAGCTTTTCTGGCAGGCCTGAGGCCGTTGACCTCTTGATTGAGGTCCGGCCCCTCTCTGATTGGGTGTATGTTGTTTTTTTTCTTAACTTTGTTGTGTCTCATTGTTTTAATTCTTTTTTAATAATTTTTCATTTCTGTAAGCTGCCCGGAGTCCTTCGGGATTGGGCGGCCTAGAAATTCAATAAATGAAATGAAATTATTAGGATAAAGGTTTCAATGTTTCTTTTTACAAGACCTTTGATCCAAAACTTATACCCAAGGAAATTGAGTAAATTCTGTAAACTCTGAAGGTTTAATCTCTCACAAAACATGTTTCTGACAGAGAGAACAGACCAGTAGACTTTTCCCTGACATTTTGGTCATGATTTTTTTTTTAAAGCAGACCCATTGAGAAACTTTCATAATTTATTTTGGCCTTAAAAGTCAATTGTTGTTCACACATTTTCAATAGTATTATCTTGAGATTAAAGCCTTGCAAAACAACATGTGCATGCATGCGCATTGAAAGATAAATATGCTGAAGGAAATGTTTCATGTCTAGCTTTCATGCCTGTACTACTATTCTTTATTCCTACTGAGTGGTGTGTCAGAATCACATTGTGATGCAAAACACGATTCAACTCCTGTCAGAAGGACTTGTTCATAATGCCACATGGAAATCCCAGATGGCCAATTACCGGAATGAAACCGGAGCTTGATCTGAAAGACCAACTGTGCTTTGGCAATTAGTGATGCTATGCTGAGGAAAGAAGGTCAAGGAAGTCAAAGAATCGGTTTGGATGATCAGAGTAAAGTACATTTTAAAAACTTTAAAATGAAAGGTAGCTTGAAAGTATTCCCCCAAATCTTAATAAATGAAAATTCTCCATTATCCAACAGTGTATTTAACAAAATCACAGGAAACTAGAGCACTTAAAACTAAATTTGATGCACTTGTATCTAAATCCATTATCTGTTCTGGTCATATGGAAAACAGAGGGGACTAAAGTTGATATATTTAACTCAAGTGCCTGAGTTTCCTCCCACATTTAGATTTATCATGCAATTTACTGCCGAAGGAACTTGTCATTAATGAATACTCTGGATGCATGGACTTCAAGTCTCAAAATACTTAGCAATGACCAAGTTCCTAAATAAAATATGACTGTCTCCAAACAAGGCCCATTTCTATGCCTGATGCTGACAGGAATATCTTTGACAGACTTTCTCAGTTTGATGCCATTCAAAATGCTGAACTACAATTCCCATATCACAACCAACCCCAGCTAAGTTACAGGGGAATAGGGATTTCGGCAATACCACATTTCAGGACTTTTCCCACACAAGTGAAACTCAAACAAAATAAGTAATTATTTCACTTGTATTGGATGTATTAGTATATAATTAGAAGATCAGTAATTCTTATTTATTTCTGAGATATTAGAAACAGAGTAGATCTGTGCCTTTTAAAATTTAGATTGATATTTGCCATCCTATTTAATCTTGTATGATTCAACCTCAAATTATGTTCTCATAATTTGTATAGGGATAACAACATTACATCACAACTGCTGTCCAATAAATAAACTCACTCTATTTTAGTATATGGAATCTCTCTTAGTTGTTCCTCAGATAGGCCAGATGGATCTATGAGGTCTTTTCTGGAAAAGAAAAGTTTAAAAGTTAAACAATCACATGCATAAAAAATATTATCTAATAATAGGTATATTTGCAGAAATACTTACTGAATGTGTTTCCATAATTCTTCCTTTGCTTGAACATCTGGGCTTCTCCTATATGCATTCAAATATATACATATATTTTTTATCAGTATATATAATAAACAAATGCAAAATCTTTAAATTATGACAGCCAAGACAATGCTGTCAATACCCAATCAATACTTAAGAACAGGAATAATCTTAAAATTTTACACATGGAAATGGCATCTTATGAGTAGAAAAGTCATGACAGGAATCGCTATTTGTCTTCCTCCAAAATTCACAAAATATGTTGACTAAATTTCTAATTTAAAAAATAATTATTTAAGGTATCTCCTACTTCTCAAAGTTCTGGGAAAGTTAAAAAGTGGGAACAAGTAATGGTACAATCAGGGTTGACTCTATTTACTAGTTAAATAACGTTTCTGAAAAAAACGCCATATTAACAGCTTATTATCACTTTCATTTCAAAGCAACCAAGCAAATTATGAGTACCAGTAGTCCTTGATTTACAATCCAAATGGGACCGGAATCTTGGTTATTCATTAAGTGAACAATCATGAAGTGAACCATCCATGCTTCGCTTAACCACAATCCCAGCTCTCCCAGTTGCGGTTGTTAACTGATTGTGCCAGCTTTTAAAATGAGTGCTGGGGAGAGGGCTTCTCCCTGCTCAACTATGCCCAAGTCCACTTGCCTTTTTTTGCAGATGCACCCACCCAATTCAAAGTACAGCCTTCCTTTCAAGGCCACCTTGTATCATCCTGCCAGTGCGTTTCATTCTCACAATCATAAGAAGACTCCTGCAAACTGCACAATTTGGAGAAAGGATCTTCCAAACTATTGTGAGAATGATTAGGTTAGCTAGCCTTTAGCCTAGGAAGCAGGGGTGGGTTTCAACCAGTACGGACCGGTAGGGCTGTAGCGGATGGTGAAATTTAGCCTGCCTTCCCGTACCCATTGGTCGGGAGGCCCCGTACCGGAATGCTCCCTCCCTCATTCGCTCTTTCATTCGCCCTGCCAATCCTCACCATGCTGCTGAAAAGTTCTCAGAAGAAGAACTAGAAGAAGAACTGGTGAGTGGCTGAAATGGGGAGGGGAGGATGTTGGGGGAGAGGGAAGAGGCAGAGAAGTTGCTAGAAGAGTGTGTGCCTGTGCACACGCTGTGTGTTTTAAAAAATGCCTGAGTGAATCCAGGAAGAGGGAAGAGGTAGAGGGGCTGGAAGATACTATAGGAACACATGCTTCCAGCCCTTCTGCCTCTTCCGCTTCCTGGATTCACTCAGACATTTTTAAAACTCATAGCCTGTGCGCACACGCGCGCACACACACACACACACACTTCCACTCTTTTAAAAATGTCTGAGTGAATCCATGAAGAGGGAAGAGGCAGAGGGGCTGGAGGAGTGTGTGCTGTACACAGGTTGTCAGTTTTTAAAACTGTGTGTGTAAGGTAGTCAGTAACGTTGAGGACCAGCAAGGACAGCCATAAACTCTGTAAGAGCTATTTTATTGTTTTGTATACTTATTTTATTCTTATTTAAGTAGTAAATGCACAAAATAATAAATTTCCTTTTTTTTATATCTTCTTTTTGTAGGTCATTCTTTGTGGCAAAGAATTCAGTGACATTGACTTGGCCACTCCCACCCAGTCACATGACTGCCAAGCTACTCCCTTCCGGTCACATAACTGCCAAGCCACTCTCACTCAGTCACATGACTGCCAAGCTACTCCCACCCAGTCACATGACCACCAAGCCACTCCCATAAAACAGGTCACACCTACAGAACAGGTTCTAAAAGTTTTTGAAACCCACCACTGCTAGGAAGCCTAGAAAGCTAGCAAACACCACGGTTCTGAATTATGGCATTCACTAGTTTTCAAGGCTAGAAAGCTAACAAATATTTAGGATTTGTTCTTGCATGGTGCTGAAAAATTTTGTGTGGGGAAGAGAAATCCCTTGGAGTACTGCAAGAATGACACAAAATCCTCCATCGCTTCTACTTACAGCCTTCCCTGCTGGCTTTCCCACTGGCTTTCTGGGGAAGCCAGCACAGAAGACTACAAATAGTGATCATATGAACAGTCATTAAATGACTGGTTGTTAAATCACTTAACAACAGTTAAGGAATACCTGTAATGAAAAATATGTTAAATAACTGCAAATCTTATAGTTTCACATAATATATTAGGGAAAATATTCAAAATGAAGAGGAAAAAGAAAGATATAGCTTTTGTTAAGGTGCTTGTATGATTTGGTCATTTACTTAGGTGAGGTGGGCAGTGTAGACATTTGTTAAATAAATAAATAATCTCAACATTTTTCTTTCTGCTCACCTTATTGTTTCTGATTTTCACCTTGCTACATGAAACAGTTCCTGAAAATTTGAAACTACGGTAGTCCTCAACTTACAATAGTTCATTTAGTGACTGTTCAAAGTTACAACGGCACTGAAAAAAATGACTTATGACCATTTTTCAGTTACAACCTTTGTAGCATTCCCATGATCATGTGATCAAAATTGAGATGCTTGGCAAGTGGGTTCATACTTATGACGGTTGCAGTGTCCCAAGGTCGTATGATCACCTTTTGCAACCTTTTGACAAACAAAGTCAATGGGGAAGCCAGATTCACTTAACAACTATGGGAAGAAAGATGGTAAAATGGGATAAAACTCACCTAACAAATGTCTCACTTAAAACTGAAATTCTGGGCTCAATTGTGATCGTTAATCGAGGACTACCAGTGTTATCTGTACTTTCAATTGACATAATAAAGGTAGTGGATCCCAGAGAGCTGCAGCCCAAATTTTCTTCTTTGGCAAAGAGATATTCTTCACAGTTTTGCATTTTTTTCAACCTTGGTCTCCTCACCCCAATCTTTGTATACTCCCCTTTATGTCCTCTGTACTTCTCTCTGCCTAAGGAACATTGGTTAGTGCAGGAGTGTGGAGGAGGGAAAGGGGGGGGTTAATAGTATTTCTCAATCCCTAATGCTAAATTTCTTCTTTTTTCACTGAGATCCATTCATGCAAAGCAGCAGCTGCCCTCATCTCGAGGGATCAGCATCCTCTTCTGAATTTGTAATATAACTGGGAACTAAGCATAAACAATTCATACGGAAAGAAAGCTTCAGTGAATTGCCTGCAGCTGCCATTATTCATCCAAAACAAAACCCACAGGTCAATAAGTAGCTCAGACCTCAGTGTAGTCATGAACTGCATCCTTAAGATATGAACCTCCCCCCCCCGCCCCCCAATGCAGGACTTTTTAGGCTTTTTTGCTGAAAAACAATGGGGGGAAGTTGCAAGTAAATAATAGATAAAAGATACTCAGATTTATAATAAACTGTAATCTTATTTATGCATCTCTGAATAAGTAGCTTAATTAGGTCACATATAGATCCAGTACAATGCACAGAAAATAAATGTCATCCCCCTCACATTAGAGATAACAGCAAAATTCAACAGCATCATCATCATCATCATTATTATTATTATTATTATTATTATTGCAAACCATGTAGAAAATGTGTTTAGGAGCCTATACAAACAGTTACTTTCCATTATAAATCAGGCAGTCATCAATATTAACATGATCTTACTTATCACTGTTTAACTTCTTGCTAATGAAGATTTCTGATCAAAGGAAATGTTTCTCACAATGTTACTAGCTCTTAACCAGCTTTTGTCTTGCTTAGTGCTTATTGAAGCTACTAGAAGGCAGTTCCATTCTGTTTATAGTTGAATGGAAAGAATCTTGTCCAACATGCTGTTTCGAGTGGAAGCTATAACACAGAGAAGGCCAACCAAGACACAGCAAGAATTCTGCTGGATCATACTAAGGGCTTGTCTATCCCGGAATTTGAATCATATAATGGTAACTAGATGGAATCAGAAAGCTCACAAACAACAAAGAAGTTGATTAAAAAAGACAGTTTTTAATTCCATTCATCCTTGCATTACTCAATGGAACAAATTGGCTATTTAACAGAAGAAACACTAAAACTTATGTTTTTGCTTTGGAAGAATTAGGTTCCATTGTAAAACAAAAGCAGACAACTATTCCAGGAAATATATCCTTTAATGACTATAGAGAGACCCATGTCTTGCATAATATGAGAAATGATACAGTTTTAAAGATTTTCTTAAGAAAAATCAAAATCTAATTATTTTACATTTCCTAGTGATCTGAGTCTGCTGATAAGCCAAAATGAGTGCTAAGCATTTGAATTAACAACAGATTTCCATTTTAGGTGAAACTGTTATGCCATTGTAGGTGTATAGTCATACTATAGTTGTCTCTCTTTGCTAGCTGCAATCTGTTGTGACTTTCTTTTTAACTTAAAGCAGCTGTATGTTATTCTGCCTAATACAGTTGCTACATCAGGAATTCAAGCTTTCTTAAGGTGGCGGAGAGGAACAACATTTTAGCAGGTAGAAATACAGAATGGCTAATCCAAATCATTGGAGAGGTATCTGATACACCAAAACGTCCATTAAACTGCAAACTATCATTCTGCAGCAATTCATTTCATTTTCATAAGGGTGGCATACATTTATGCAAACTATGCCTTCTCCACCTAGATATCATCGTTCCTATACCAAAACAAACAAACTCCATGAATTAAAAAAATGTAATTGGTTAGTGCAGACTACTTCAGATGCAGTGGACTTTGCTATTTCAGGAGGATGTCCACACAGAAATTTATATGCCAAATCTGCTAAATGGAAACCAAAGAACTCAAGGTTTTACTGTATTTAGTTGATGCGCTCAGAAATTATACGGGCTTGTTTTTCAGAACATTTGAATAGATGCAATTCATTTCATGGGGTTAAAATCTTGTTCATTATTCTATTTTTAACAACATATTTAACTTTTCCTAACTAGCAAGTGTGTTTATCCTGTCACTATACCTAATCAAATTCAATATAAACCAATAAGATACAACTAGATATTATTTGGAATATTTAACTATGGAATTTTTATGGCTGTCAAGTCTAAAAATCCTTTGGCAATACAGATGACTTGTACAGAAATAGAAAATGGAGGAGTTTTATGTGTTTTTCTTAAACATCCACAAGCTATTTTTCTCCTATATTCAACCCTCTCAAACAGGGTAGTTAATTTTTTTTTTAATTAGGCCAAACTATTCTTTCATTGTAGCATTTAATTTTCTTGTTACTCTTTTTCCTTAAGATTTATTGCAATATAATACAATAACTATGTCTGACTTACAATGTGCAAATTGACCACAAGAGGGAGTCTCTCCTATTGTATTTAACTAACAAGTAAAAATGATATTAAAAAAGGGTAACGTTTCTCATTTTAGATGTCCAAAAAGTTTAGCTTTCAACATACGATCGTGATCTGTGCTTGGAACGTCGATGGGTGGGTTCAGTTTGGTTTTTTTCCTTTTGTCGCCTCAGCACTGCTTCCCACTGAGGAGCTGAATCAACCATGTCATTCTCTTGTCGTAACCTTTACAAAAATTAACATAATGATAACAATTAGAAATTATGAAACTTGCAGTTCAACAGATGTCAGATTGGGAAGATAATCAGATAAGCACCTTAATATTCTGCAAATTTAATCTTGAAGACAGAGGCCTGTTCTATTTCATGGTATAATTTACATCAAGCTCATTATTTGACATACTTGCTTCTGTCTTAACGCTCTTTTGAGCTACTGAGCATTTATTCACAAACTGAATGCTAAAAGTAACAATGTCTTAAGAGGACTGATTCTAGTAGCTAGAGGTTTAAGAAAAATAAATGTACTACTCTAATGAGCCAGGCAGCACATTTATATTTATTTGCAAAACAAATATATGTTTCAATCACAGACTCAAAGTGGCTTACAACCCAGTAGAATAACAACCAATACCTATCAAACTAGAAACCAGTTGTTAATTTTTAAAAAGGTAACAAATAAAAACTAACTTGGATATAACAATAACATTCATCCCCAAAAGGCTCTGCAGAACAGCAGTGTTTTAACTCTCCTTTCTAATTTTGAATGAATAGAAAAGGAGAGAAAAATCCAAACAGAAAAACCCAACAAAATCAAAGACACATTGTTTGTTTATTGTCATGTTGTGACAAACCTAAACCCAATTCCATCTGTCAGGCATATCCACATCAAATCTATACCTCTAGACTGATTTTTCAAATGATCCAACATTTAAATCCTTGATGAAAACCATTGATGAAATAAATTCATAGACACCAGGTCGGATCATCTAAGATACTGATTACTCAGTTTGAATTCCTTCATTAGGAATTCCTCCCTCCTACCCAAAATGTCATCTGGATTTTGTCTCCAAATTGCAGGCAAGGAATCAATCTTCATATTAGGTTACTTCCCTGCATTGATAAAACATTCTTAAAGGTTCAGGTTTATTAAATAGCAACCAACATTTCTGGTTGTTTTAAAAAAACAACTGATCGCTTCTGATTTCTTTTTGTTTAGTTTTTTAATACATGAAATCAGCTGGAGTCTGGAGAGATTTAATCCTTTTACCTTGCCTGAGCAAGTTACAAGCTGCTTTCATCTCTGCTTTTTAAATGAAGAAAATGGCAATTTTTTTTCTCCAAAGATGAATATAACCATAATGTTCATGGGGAATATCCAGAGTTTAAATTACTCATAATTCTGGACTGCTTTTAATACATAACAAAAGGGAGTTAGGCAACCTCTCCTATTTACACAGAAGAAATACAATATCCCATTTTTTTCAACTGAAAATTAACCAGCTAGGAAAATATCATTCATAGAAGCAGCATTTATTTACACCATAATCTGTAAAGTAAGTATAATATGATAATATTCATTTGGTTCCAAAATTTGTGCATAATTTTTTATCACCTGTGTCTCTTCTTCCTATGTTCTCTATTAGAATTTTCTGATTCACTACCACTGCTGGTATTGCAACGGGATCTTGATCTATAAAGAAGAAAAACAGAATGACACTGGCAAAAAATAAAACATAGAGGTATTCTATCCATCCATCCAATTTCATATGATCGCCCACCTCACAAAGGGTGACATACAACAAAAGCAACAATTAAAATGTATAAAACCACTTCACTAAGTAAACATAAATAAGAACAAGATTGCAAGACAATTATATATGGTGCAGCCATTGTGTGAGTTCCCTGTTGCCCGGGGATTCCCAGGCTTGGGAATTCCAGAAGGCGGTAGGGACCAAGCTTACTTCAGAGAGGATGATATTCTAATGGGAGGGTGCATTGGCAGAAAAGACTTGTCTCCTAGCTTCCATCAGGTGGGAACCCCTTAGTAGACATTTGTCTGCAGCATGCCCCTGCTGCAAAATCTGAGAGGATGAATGGATGTAATTGGGGGAGAAACAGTCCCTCAAATAAACTGCACAATGCAAACATAGCTGATGACAGTCAAGAGAAAAAAAAAGAACCAAAATAGAGAATAATTCTCTATTATTCTCGATCTCCAAAATAGAGAATAAAGAAACCCTAAATTGCATTAGGAAGTAGAAAGAAAACCTAAATGAAAAAAACAGCAGAGTTAAAGAAGCCTGTTGAACAGTCATAGAAAATTTAGGGTAAGGTCCCACCTTCTTCTGAAAGGCTGCACAGGCTCATTTTCACTTCCGCCTGAAGGATGCCGTCGTGAATGAGGAAACTTTGGTGATCTAGTTCGGTCGCTGGGAGAATTATAAAGCCCACTAGGGTCAAAGAAGAATAAAAGAAAACATGCCATTTTACAGTAGCTATCATAGAACATTTGCAGTAGTCCTTGACTCATGACCAGTTACTATTTAGTTATGATGGACTTGAAAAAAATTACTTACGATCCATTATCAAAATTATGATTGCCGCACTACCTCTGTGGTCATGCAAATAACATTTTGGGTACTTGGCAATCAGCTCACATTTACGACTGGTTGCAGCATCCCAGGGGCATGTGATTACATTTTCCGACCTTTTTGCTATTTTCCAACAACAAATATTGCATAAGATGAATTTGGACTTATGACCACGTGATCCACTTAGTAACCACATGATTTGCTTAGCTTCTGTCATAGAAATGTTTGTAAAATTGAGTCTGGTTACATGGTGACTCAACTTCCAACCAAAATTCTGGGTTCAGCTCTGGTTATAAGTCGAGGATTACCTGTAGTTTTATTTTACAGTTACTTTGTGGACAGAAAATATTGGTATTTTCTATCCTAACAAATACACTTTTTAAAAAGTGCACAGTCAAGTTGAAGATGGTGATTTTACTATTTTGGGAAAATGAATACACTGCACTAAACTTTTCCAAAACATATTTATGCAGCTTTGAAGACAGAACATTAAAAATATTTTCATATATATATAACATGATAGAAGTTATTTCTTCATTAAGAATAGCATTGTATTGCAAGATTTCCTTATAATATTAGGAAAAGACTCACCATTCCTGACCATCTATGCAGGAATAACAGACTTAACAATCTGCATATTCTTCTTACAGTTAGCTTTCATTAGAGCAATTTTCCATAATTATTGATGGTAACAGGGTAAGAAAAAATTGCAATTAGCAACAGACTTGTGAAATAATATTTGAGAAAAGACCCCTTGGAATTTATTTTTCCAATGTCATGCTGAAGATTTTAAGAATATGCACTGTTTTGTCTCCTCCAAACAAAACTGAAAATATTTATAATTCCTGAATGTTAACCAATGTCTTCATTTCACAGACAGAAATGGTCTTTTGTCAACATGTAGTATCTATGAAACTGATTTCTTCAGAGTCCATACCTGTATTAAGTCAACTGAAAGCTGTAAAATAGTTGACCAAGCTTTCTTTGCGGATCCATACAGAGGTGATGGAAAGAATCGAAGAGTGGAAAAGAATCCTATCTGCAACCAACATTTACCCACATTTCGTACAGAATCTCACATATAAATGAAAGGAATTATAACTGGCTTGGCTTCCATCTCTTTTGTTCTTCCTTTATCTCAGAAAAGTCAATATATTTTCACACTTTTAACCTTTGGAAATAGCAACAACTGGTAAGGAAGTACAGCTACTTCTCTTGAGGATGGTCTAGCTACTGTGTATAGTAAACCCATTTCAAATCTCCATATCAGATCTTAGATAATGATCAAAAGGCACTAATTTTAAGACACTGGAAATATGACAGCCCTTCTTCCAACCTGTGGCTCTTATTAAATAGTAAGGCCCCTCTATCATACAGAGAGCTTCCTTTTGCTTCAATAACCTCTCCTTTCTATTGTCATCAACATTTAACTAACATGCCTTTGGATATAACACTAAGGCTTTTTAACACAGACTGTGAATGATTTAAGAAACTAAGTCTGTAATAATCAAGATTTGTTATAAAATGTGGCTTGCTTTTGCCCTGCCAAAATGTGTAGATAGCATTCCAAATGCTCTTAGTCACAGGAACTTCTTTGCACAAGCTAAGTAAGCTTTTTTTTAAAAAGAAGAATCAAAACAAATTTCAGATCTAGCAGTAAAAATGAAAAAAACAAAACAAACAAACTGTGGTGGGATTACCATAAATAATTTATTTTAGTCATCTTTTATTCTCTTCAGAGTGTATTATTTTATACTCTGTGGGTGCAACCATCAGGAAATCCTATTTAAAACAATGTTTACTGAGATTTCACAAGGATGTTGTTTTTCCCCCCCTTTCTCTTTGCAAAAGATATAAGCACTCTGGTATGGAAAGAACTCTAGATAAAGGAGTTGCATTGATAAAGATTCACTGCCAGGAAGAATGCCAGCATTTATTGTTTGGGGAAATTCAAGAACTGTTTAAATCTGAGAAATTGGACAATGCAGAAACAAGGAAAAAGTGGTTTTGTTTCTAGGTTAAAAAACAATGGGCTGAAACAAATCAGGACCTGTCATCTAATGTCAAGCAATGCCTTCAGTTTGTATTTACTAAAGGTTTAGATTAACATTAATCTAAGAAATCAACATTAATCTAAGCAGATTTAGAGTTAGCATTTTAGCACAAAGATGCCTGCAATACATTATACTTCTAATGTGTGTACTTTGTTCAAAGCACAAGCTTACCTTTGAGGACAGTTTTCTTCCCATGGTGCACTGGTTTTACTTCTTTGGGTTTCTGGGCTATTTTCATTTCTTGACTTTTTAAAACTGGTAAGGATAAAAATAAAAATTTAGAACTATCAAGCTGTATAAGTAAGCCTAAATCTCACATCACAAGCTTAGACATTTATTTCTAGGGAATTTTCATAATGAAGCACTTTTGCCATAATTATGTTGAGGACTGCACAAATATAAAATATTGTTCAAGTTGAAATGACTGCTGAAAATACTATCTGTGCTTCTTATGCTATACATCAAGTGAAGCAGAACATTCCATGCAATCTATGTATTCTATATGTAAGTTTTTAATGTGTTTAAATCATCTTTGCAAACTTTGTCACTTTATTTTTTTTAGAATTTTAATGTTATAAGATAGTTTGGATGAACAGTTACTCTCTTCTACACAATAGGCTACATAAATATAATCCAATCCAGACAACTGTCAGTATCAGAATGAAAGCTAGGCATCTGGAGTTAGGCGCTGGTGGTATGTCCCGGTATGGGCGTACCGGAGCCTTCCCGGAGCACCAGATACCGTTCCGGTATGGTGCTCCAGAGGGCTTACCCGCCCAAGCTCCTTACCTGTCTTTTAAGGCTTCCGTGCTTCCGTGCATATGCATGGCATGTACAGTTCCTGTGCAATGCTCTGCTGAGCAGCTGGAGCATCACGGAGGCTTGAGGAGGCAGTAAGATGCATGCACACGCTGCATGCAGTTATGCGCGCATTACGCACATCCATGTGGACACCACTGGGCCCGTTCCAATTGTACCAGTTGGAACGGGATCCGGAACCCACCACTGATGTGCATCCATATATAGATAGGCAGAAAAAGCAAAGAACTGACCAAAGTAGCTTTCTTATCTCTTTAGTATAAATCTATATTGCAGAGACTACCACACTGTTTCCTACTTGTAATCTCCACAATCAGTCCAGAAGGTTGATCAATGGTCTTGCAGGTTGCTGAGAGAACTAGGATAGCTGCACCACCATTAATCTGCCTCTCCAAATGTCATTAGAAGTGAAATCAATGCTGTCTCCATACTATCCAACCTGAATCCTAACTGGAAGAGATCCAGATAATCCACTTCCTCTAAGATCTCTGAACATGCAAGCAGACAACTTTCTCAACAATCTTCATTGAAAAGGGAAGAAGGTTGGAGA